TTTTTTTTATAATAACTGAGGTATTTGATCCATTTGGATAGCAAAAATATATTCGATCTTGTATGATGGTGTGCTTCTAAAAATAATAATATAATTTTATTGATTTTGTCTATTATCCGTAATTATTTATATAACTATTTTTTAACATATATTGTTTTAGTAATTCAAATGGGAGATTCACAAGGAAATAATAAAGAAAAATGAAAAGAGAAAGAAAACTATGAAGCTTGGATTAAGGATGATTCCGATGAATTGTTACAATTGATAGTGGATGCTATAAAAAGAGGATAGAATATTATAGAGAATTATTATTATTATTTATCTAGACATTATTTTTTTTATTTATTATTTTTATCTTTGACTCTTTTTAAATTTGAATGTATAATTTTTTTTAAATCTTATCAAATGTCAAAACTCCACAAAATCCCACAGAATCCATTAAAATCCTAATTTAAAAGTCTTGCAGAATCCATTAAAATCCTGATTTTAAGTCTTGTAGAATCTTGCAAAATCTTAAAAGTCATGAAAATCCTGCAAAGTCTTTTAAAATCCGTAGGATTTTTTTTAACTAAAAAAGTCCTTTAAAATCCTAATCCAATACACCCCCCTTAGTCACCCTATTTTTTAAAATGCAAAATTTTGGTTCTATCAATTTGATGTCCGTTGATCGTTAAATTTTAACGTTGTTCGATGATTTATCACTATTTAAGGGATATGATATTTAATGATGTGATGTATAAGAATAAAAATTAAAAATAACATGTAATTTTTTTTTTTTGTATCTACTTTTACAAGTGATTAATATTTATTTTATTAATAAAAATTTTATTTATATATATTTTTTTATTTCTAAATGTCATGTTATTAAATGTTATATTTCTTAAGTATGAGTAAATGTTAAAACTTAATTATTAATAAATGTCAATTTGATGAAAAAATTAAAATTTCATATTTTTAAAATTAGAGGAATTAAATATCTTTATTTTAAAATAGAAGGACCAAAATTATATATTATATATTAAAAATAGAGATACTAAAGGTGTAATTTAGCTATGATCTTTTGAACAATTATTATCTAGAAAATTTAATATGTTATATTTTATTTTAAAATTACTAAACAATTTATGCTTATTTTCATTTTTCATACGTAAAAAGAATTACTCCTTTAAGACAAATTAATCGTGTTTGATCATCAAGCCGAGGTCACACAACATCACAAATGGACTAATTTAACATTCTCCTTTTATATAATAATTATCACATAATCTTATCGTATTTTTTTTACTATTATATTGATTTGAAGTATTCATTGACTTCATTGATAACTAATCTATATATAATATTAGAGTTCAAAATCTTACTTAAAGTCTTATACTACTTGAACAAACTACTTATTAATTGGTTAGTATATTTACTTAAATAATACAAAAAAAATTAAAAAGAATGATGGCATTGAGGGTGAGGTGATTGATATAGCAATAGCAAGATGGAAAGAAGTTGTGAATAAAGTAGAGCCCGATGAAAAGCTAGAGTGTGTCGTTTTGAAATGGTTTGAGAACATGGTCATGTAGGTATATATAGCTTCATAATTTGGCTACAACAATGAGTCCATGTCGACAAGGTACCTCCCTTAGCGATAATAATTGCACACCAAGGTCTCATCACACTCTCTTTTTGAGTAGGAATCCACTTTGATTGCTTCATCTCATGCATTTCACTTCCCCTTTCAGCTAATCAACAAAACACACAAAACCCCCCCACTGACCAATTTTTGTGCCAAAAGGGAAATTACGAGAAAGAGAATATAAAGCCCTAGCAATGAGTAACACAGCCAACGAGGACACACTCCACTCCTTAACTCACTCCATCCCTTCAAAAATCAATCACAAAAATAATGATGGACGTAGCAACCTAGTAACATTTCATTGTCATTGCCCAAGAGATTGATGTTTCATGAAATTAGAATCATACCCATTCCGTACTTCCACCATAACATACAACAAATCAAAATCGCTTTTAATCATTCACCTTATATTATATTAAACATATCAAATAAGAGTTAGGAAATAATTAATTAAACAGCACATATATATAATTGGTACTATATATAAATAAAGAAGGATATCAAGAGTGAGAGAGGTGGTGAAACATTAATATAGCATGAGATTGTGGAGTGAACCTAGGTAGCACTTGATAATTTGATAATTACTAAACTAAAATTCCTTTCTCATAAACCCTAACAAAAAAAGACAGAGAAAGAGACCTTTGTACTTCCGCAGGAAATTAAAACGTTTTGCAACTTTTTTTGTTTTTTTTTTTATAGAAACAAAGGACGTTAACGAAGAAGCGAGTTCACAAGCGAAGGGTGAGGTCGAGGTTGACGTGTTCAGAAGCATCAACATTGTGAGAGGAAGCAGAAGGGGAAGGGGAAGGGGAAGGGGAAGGAGCGTGGAATGGAAGAGGGAGCGTGGCGGTCACGTGCGTGGTTTGGAACTGCAAGGGCTCCACGTCGAGCCAGTAGGGGGGGTGGTGGAAGAAAAGCCCGGTGGGGGGTGAAGCGGGCTCCAGGGGCTCGGGCCTGGGCTTGGGGTCGGTGGGCTTGAGGGGGAGAGGCCCATTATTATTGTGGAAAGGGACGTTGATGTTGACGGTGGTTCTCCTGGCGGCGGCGCGCTCCAGCTTGTGGGCGTTTTGGTGGCCGCCGAGGGCTTGGGAGGTGTAGAACTTGCGGTGGCAGAAGTGGCATTGGAAGGTGCGCGTCGTGGTGGCCGGTGGCGCTGCTCTCTTTGCACCGCTTGAGGGCTGCTGCTTCAGGAACTCGTAGATCGTTGCAGGGTCTGCCATATTGCAATGTGTTAGTGAGTGAGTGAGTGAGTGAGTACTCAACAGTGTGAGTAGAGAAGGGTTTATATAGTGGAGAGGGTTGGATTGAGTTGGCTTATGGCTATGGGTTTATTCTTCTTCTAACTTTTTCTTTCTATGCTCTTCACATCAAATGACCCATTTGCCTACCCTCTCTCTCACCTCAAACTAATTTAATATAAGACAAAAACATAATAATTAATTAACCCTAGTCTAACATCTCAATTCTCAATGCATGCATGCATCAACACTTATTACTATATCAATTTATACAATCGTTAGTTAGCTTTTATAATAATTACTTTACAAGTTGTAATTAGGATAATTTTTGGTTAGATGATGGTGTATAAGATATGAAAGTTTAATTTATAATTAATAAAAAAAAAGTCCTTTTTTTGGCTATTTTTTTTCTTGGTGTAGGTTCAGTACATGCGTGGTTGTTGTAACAATGAACCATGGTGCATATTGGGATAATATTGATCCATGCTTTTTGGGAGACAAGAAATTGAAACAATGACCGCGGAGAAATGGCTTTTGTAACTAGGTTGTAGCGTTATGGGAAATGGAAAAATGAAAAAGGGTTTTGAGATTGCAAAGTATGGCACATAATAGAGCTTAATTAAAGTGAAGTTAATTGTGTTTATAAGTTGTGGGTGAGGCAAAAGGGGGCAGAGTGGGAATAAGGAAGTGTTGGTAAGAGGAATCAAAGGACGTGAGGCGAGTGAAATGCAGAAAAGGACAAGGAGAGAGGGAGCAGTGGGTGGGTGTGTGTGTGGAGGGAGGCATGAGAGTGCAGTTAGTAGCAGTGGATGAGAGAGTTTGCGTCTTATTCTGACACCGCACACACACACACTCGCACACACCGCGCAACTCGCTTTTTTCTCAACATGTCACCCTCTCATTATTCGACACACCAATACGGTTAGGCCATGAGGTACGTCGTTACTCTCCTCCTAGGGCCACGTATGAGAGAGAGACACAATGAAATGACAAGGGTGAGGATGGTGCAATGCAACCAAGGTCTAAGGGAAATCAATTAATAAAATGTTACAATTTTTACTCTCTCTTGCTATGCTATGCTATGCTAGGGTATAGGAAAGGAATATTGTTTAATGTATGGGGGAAACGGTGATGGGATGGCCATGACATTTGATTAGATGATCAAAGTGATTGAGGTCTTGTGTTGCAGTAAAAATTGTTCAATCAATCTTCTTTCACTGGTTTTCTTGGTTAATTAAAGTTGTGAGTCCCAAGCCAAGAAGTGGATACTGGGTTATGCCATTCTCTCTGCCGCATGCCTCTGGCTTTCCCTAATGGGTTTGTTCTATGATGTTAAGCCTCCAAATTGCACCCTCTCTCTTTGATGCCAAACATAATAACGGCATCATGCAGTTTGTTTGTGGTCATGTGAAAATTTGGCCGTCAACACTCACCTTTTCTTTAACCACGAGAAAGACAGATAAGACACACACATCTATGCATTTCTGCCTATATATGTCTCTTGCGTCTTCGGATGTACTTTACATATAATAAATCAAGCTACTTTAAATTTTATTTTACTTTTTTTTTATTATGATTAAATTTTATTTAACTAATAACTATATTCTAGTCAAGTTTTTATTTCCTTTTGGTCACTCGTTCTACTTTTTATACAATATATATCTTTTTTTTTAGGTTATAAGTGTTTGTTTAATTAATATAACTCATTCTATAATTAAAATAGGATAACTTTATTTAATTACCAAATAAAATAAAATAAAACAGGACACCTTTTTTTTTTTTTTTTACAATTTTCTTGTAAAGTCTCTTTTATGTTCTCAAGATTTTAGTTACGACATTGGTTATTATTTAATTATTAATTAAAGTTTGTGTATAAAGGAAAAGATGCATGACAAATAAGTTATGCAAGAGGAGTTTTCTTCTTATCATTCAGAAAAATAAATAAATAAATAAATAAAAACACCTCTTGCATTAAGTAAGAGTTTGTCACAATGATATATGCATAACATAATCATATACCGGCAAATAGCATATATGTATATGATACAAATATTTAATTTTACAATTATAAGGAGATATTGGAGATAACATAATTTATTAAGTAATGAGGATTGAGTCATGTGATGACATAATAGAAACTAAACAACCAAATTTTCTTTTTGGTGTACATCAAAAATTAAAACAATAATAATATTTCATACTTTAATAAGTGCAATACATTAAATAAAAGATTATAAAATATATACAGGATAAAATATTTATTTATATCATTAAAATTTATAAAAAATAAATAATTTTTTTTTAATTTCTTAAATGTGTCTTGTTTTTTAAGACAATCTTGTTCGAACATCACACATAACATCTTTTCGATAGAAGTATTTAAACTTGTTTAATAAATATATTAAATTGTAATAAAAATAATGTTAGATTTACTATGAGAAAACATCCTTTTTAAATGTTATTATATATATATATGTGTGTATATGTATGTATATTATAGGCTCGTGGTATTCTTTTTTGGATTTTGACATGATTTTAATGGTTATGCAATCACATAGTATTACTTAAGTGTTTCTATTTGTAATTTTATTTTGGTAAAGATAGAAAAGATTATAAAAATGGTTGTAATAAGGATTGAATCTAGCTAGGTCCCTATATTTAACTACCCCAACTTCTCCCCACCCAATCTATTTGTAATTTAGATAAATTTACATTGCAAAAATAAAAATAAAAAAACCACGAAAGAAGTTTAATACTAATCGCGTGAAAACAGGAAATAAAATACATGTAGCTTGCAATTATAGAAGTTATGCTTAATTTATCTTTAGTTGTATGCAAATGAAATTTCAACGAAAATTGCCATTTTTATACATGTAATACAAATTTATATAAAAAAAACTGAATGATCATATTATTACTATACATGAAAAAAAATACTTATCAAGAGATATTAATTATTTAAATAAATTTTATTACTTCAAAAAATTAATCTTTAATTTTCTGGCTGAGGAATGCACTGATTCACCCACAGAAAAAAAGTAGGTTAAATACCTCTTTTCGTCCTTCATAATATTTTTTTGTTTCAATTTAGTTTCACTTTAATTTTTGGTCTCAATTTAGTCCCCAATAACTTAAATTATTGCAATTTGGGACTTCCGTCCAAATGATTTAAACGAAGTTAACTGTTGGCCACGTGGCATCCACGTGGATGCCACATAGATGTGTACGTAGACGCCAAAATTTTTGAAAAAACTGGGAACCAAAACGGCCCGTTCTGAAACTAGAACGAGTCGTTTTAGTTTCAGAACGGGCTGTTCTGGTTCTAGAATACCAAACACGGATGGTCACTAATTATAGTTTACGGTTGTGAATCGTAAAAAAGACCCAAGGTACAAAAGATTTCAAACACTGAATTTGGTAATATTATAAATGAAAATTGATAACTTCAATTGCTAAACAGTTGGGCTATACAGTGTATCATTAAGGACAATGCAGTGTATCAGTAAAGACAATGGTAGCAGGTTTTATTTCATTGTTAGTCAAACTGGAGTGAACCACTTACTACTAAATTGACACTATACAGTCAAGGATGAAACAAAACGGTGTTTTTCCTTGAAGTCATTGACGATGTACCCCAACAATAATAACATGTTCTTGAGGAGGTACAACCTGAATTTTTATGGTTTAGGGTTTCCCTTCAGCATTACCTAGATGATTTCCTTTCTCAGTAATTTTTTTGAACTTTTTTAGTATATGTTATGTTCTGAATTTTTGTTTTCAGTTTCTGAACTATGTTTCTATCTTTGAATTTATGATATGCTATGAATTTTTATTTTCAATTTTTGAATCACGTTGCGGCATTTTGGTCAACGGCCGTTCTGAATCCAGAACGGCCCGTTCTAAAACCAGAACGGCCCGTTCTGGTTTAAGAACGGCCCGTTCTGATGCACTAATGGTGTGTGAAATTTGCATTTGGAACGGCCCGTTCCATTTGCAAAATTAACACAACAATCCACCAATGATGACAATAAAGAGCAAAAGCAACATGAGAAAAAGGCAAACTTCGTAAATGTTGAAAAAAGTCGAATCATTTAGAAAAATAGCAAAAAAGGCAAGCTTCAAACATGAAAAAGTCGAAGCTAAACAAAAATGAAATTCAGAAAAAACTCTATCACAAGTAGAAGCCTGGAGAGGCACTACAATACTCACCTTGACAAGAACAACACCAAACTCTTACCAACCATCCCACAATGAAGATGCCTGGAGAGGCATCATAATACTCATTTGGCAGGGGCAACACCAGAACCCATGTCAACCATCTACTCCTTTGCCTGCCATCACAAGGGCACCACCTACTAGCAATCCTCGTCTTCATCAGACGTCCTCCCCAAAGAAAAGGGGCAATCACATCATCATCACCAGCAGACGGCCTGAAGAGGCTATAAAAATACTACGGCCTTGAGAGGCTATGAAAATACTACGGTCTGGAGAGGCTATAAAAATACTACGGCCTGGAGAGGCTATGAAAATACTACGGCCTGCAAAGGCTATGAAAATACTACAACCTGGAGGCTACGAAAATACTACAACAACAAAGAGGGTTACCTACCTTTAGAAGAGGCCAGCTGAAGCCCTAAATATCAGTCCAGCCTGGAGAGGCTGAGCTCAGAATATACTCCCTCTGTAACGAGCTACAAATAAAGGAACATACTATCATGAAGCAAGCAGAAGCAATAGGATGCATCGACATCAAAGCCAGAAGCCTAGATGGTACAAGTTTACCATCCTTATCACCCGACGGAGCATATAAACCAACACTCAGCCGCTCTTAGGGACGAGGATACAAGCAAACACCATCTACCCGAAGGAAATGGTGTGGGGGCATCTACACTATTGAAATAAAGGAGAAGATTCAGACACAACAAGCGACATGGGGCATTCACATATATCTTGAAGCCTAGATGTTTCGGTTTACCATCATT